CTTTCTTTTTAATAAATTCCTTATAATTTATCATTATAAATGTTTAATTTTATCAAAATATTCTCTTATAATTATTTTCATCTTTCTCATTTCTCTCTTGTTTTTCTCCATATCTTTTTTTTGGCTGAAGATCAGGTGTGTACCCAATCTTTCCCCTCCCAAATACATACTTTTTTCTTTCTTTCTTTTTCTTTGTTTTTTTTTTATTTTTTTTATGCATGTTATTACATTTTAAATTGTAATTATCATCATATTTAAAATAGCAAATACAAAAAGCATCAGTTAATTAAAACATAAGGCACAAAATTTTGACATCACATTGATCTTTGGTTATTCTATCACCAAATGAAAAATGAATTTGGTTAAATTTTGTAATTGTTATCACTAGGATTCATGGTGCCCCCATGAATCAAAATCTTGACTCCGGCACTATTTGTTCCTCTCATGTAAATAGAAATGGTCAGAAAACATATTTTACTTTTTATCACTACATTGCAGCTATAACATCATTTTTTTTTATATTTTTTATACTTCATTTTATTGATAAGGAAAAAAAAAAAAGAAAGATTCTTAAAATAACAAGCAAGAACTGCAATCTTGTGAGGTGGATGAGCACAAAGTAGCATATTTTACCAAGTTTCTAAGAAGGTACCTAGTTTCTAAGAAGGTTTTGTGAAGTCATACATAGCCTTAGCTTGGCTGACTTCACTTGCAATTCAACTCCACAAGGCTTTACTTGTCATCAGTTTTATAGGGGTGTCAAAAAATATCAGCCAAAACAAAAACAGATCTGAATTGGTCCAAATCGTAAGGTTTACTCCGGTTTTTTAAGGGAACGGTTTGGTTCCGATTCCAAAAAAATTAAGAATTATTGATTACGGTTCAATTCACTGATTAAGGCTTAAAAAGAACCAAAAAAAACCAAACCTAACTGTTTCATGTTTTTGTTAATTTTGTTAGTATAGAATGTTCCACAACGTATTTGATCTTCTTCTTATTAACTACTTCAAACCTCAATGTCATAAAGGCATCAATAAGACATTTTTATTCATCCTATTTACCAAATACTTTCTCTATGTACAAAAATGTGTATAGTTTTTCAGTAATTATATAATTTTTAAACTTGTTATATTGTTTAAAAATGCATTTTTATGGTAATTACTGGAATTTGTTTTCCCTTTACAAATTTTATAAAGATTAGTTTGGACAAAATTCTAAAAATTTGAAATTTTTGGAATGCTTGTATTGGTAGAATTAATTTTTATTGAACTACATAGTCTAACTATAGTGATAAATTTTCTAGCTTTTAATCGTGTTTCTAAACTGGATCCAAATCACAGTTTGGTTTTGATTCTAAACGTTTCATAGTTTGACTTGATTCCTAAATTTCTAAAACAGTAAGAACTAGTTTGATTTAAGAACTAGTTTGATTTTTGAACTATCAACAGGCAATTCTAAAGTTAGAATATTCAGGCAATTCAATAGGTACTTAAAAGCTTAGGCTAAACATGTAGTTGAATAAATAAATGTGTTGCTAAGTGCAAAACTTGCAATAACCACATAACCAAATGAATGAAATTTAATAATAACTTAAACTATAGTTTCAAAATATAAGTTTGGGAATCTGTGCTATCCAATCAAAGCCAACATGTATTTGGGTGGTGATGTGTCAATTCATGAAAGATATTATTTAGTTGAGTTTTTAAAATCTCTTTTTTGGGGGAAAAAATTTTTTAATGTAGTTTGATGATTTTTTTTTTTTTTAAATAATCATTATCTTCATATAGTTCTTTTTTGGGGTGGAAATAATTTCTAAAATTCGTAAATATATTTTTAGCTATTTATTTTTGTCCAAATAATTTTTAATATTTCGAAAAGAAGAAAAATAAAAAGAAAAAAGAAGTTCTGAAACAATCAAACATTTAATTGGTCTCTGCTTGTGCTCTGTTTGGCCTTCCAATAAAGCATCTTTCTTTGTGAGGGTTATGAACTTTCATATGTAAATCTTTTCGTAGAGCTCCTTCTAACCGAAAATTATAGAATATTCTTGGAGTATTATGTATCTTTATTTAAAGGGCAAATTACATATACCTCCTTCGAGGTTTAGCAAAATTACAGATACCCCTCTGAGGTTTGAGAAATTACAGATACTCCCCTGAAGGTATTATTTGCATAACAAATTAGGGGACAAATTGTTATGAAAATATAAACCTCAAGGGGCAATTTGTTATGAAAATATAAATCTCAGGGGGGTATCTGTAATTTCTAAAACCTCAGGGGTATCTGTAATTTAGCTAAACCTCAAGGGAGGTACATGTAATTTGCCCCTTTACTTTCTAAGTAATTATCATTCATCATGTCTTCTCATATTTCTTAATTACTCAAGTCAATATCTTACGTACACACTTTTTTTTTGGCCAGTTTTTTCCCTTCCCATTTCATTAAGTGTTGTCATATGATACACATGTATTTTAATAATTTATTTTGAAAACAAGTAACGCAATTATTTTTTTTAAAAAAAAGGCGGCCTTTTTCAAGGGTTGTCATAGAAGTTCTCTTTCCTTCTTTGGTGTTTGCCCTCGTGCCAATTTTGAGTTTTTCGAGGCTTAAGCAAACTGTTAAAAGGAGTCTTTTATGCATAATATATATACAACAATGCTTAGTAGGTTGAATTTTTATAGTCTGAATGGTTCGAATGTCTCAAAACGACGTTATTTTGAAGGTAAAACGACTTTGTTTTAATACATTCGAGACATTCGAGCCACATAAATTCGAGCTACCGAGCATTTTTCTCATATATATATATATATATATAAAAGATAATTGTTGATAAGTCCAAATTAAGGTGAATATAAATTATTAAATCTAGTGGATATTTTTTATTGGTGAGAGGTTTACTCTTTATGAAATAGTTTGGTGAGAAGTCCATTTGTTTGTTTTGAATGACTTTTTGTTTCTAATTTTATTTCTTAATTTATCTGGTGACTTTTTGACTATCTATTCAAATTTATATCTATCTTTTAAAGTTATTTTCTATCTGTTCAAATTTATATCTATTTGTTCAATTTTTTGGATTATCTGTTCAATTTTCTCCCTTATCTGTTTAAATATTTGTCAACATTTTATTATCTGTTCAATTGTTTTTCCTTATATGTTCAAATTCTTGCCCTAATTTTTTAATTTTATCTTTTAAAATAGAAATTCATTTTTTTTAGAGGAATTTGGTCAAAGCCCCATCATAATAAACTTCAATGGCCCAGTTTGGTAGAGCTGTGCAAAAATGATTATAGATTATAACTTAACAGATTATGACTTATAGCTGTGAACATAAGCTGTTAACCTGTTTGGTGCAGTTGTGGGATTATGGATTTAAGCAGCAAAGTAGTGTTTGGTTAATAAGCTGTAAAATAATTTTATACTGTATAATTGTCTTTTCTGCCCTTATATGATATTAAAATGATTATTTTTTCATTTTTTTCAGTTTTAAATTAAAAAAAATTATTTCATTAATAAAAATTGATATATTTGATAAAAATGTAATGGAAGTATTATTGTCACAATTTTTTTCCATTATAAATTAATTAGTATCAATTAATTGCTTAATTAGTATCAATTAATACTAAAATTATTAAGTAGTATCAATTAATGGCTTAATTAGTATAAATTAATTTTTATTAGTTTCAATTAATATTAATAATCAACAATTGTTATTAATTAGTATCAATTGATAATTAATTCATTACAAAAGTATACAATATTAATTTATTAATAGTTAATACCAATTAATATTGATTTTTTAATTAATATTGATTTTTTTCTTTTTCTTCAGAAATATACAAATTTTTATTTTAAAATTAATATAAAAATATACAATATGAATTTATTAATAATTAATACCAATTAATATTTATTTTTTAATTAATATTGATTTTTTTATTTTTCTTCAGAAATATATAATTTTTTATTTTTTAATTAATATTAATGTTAATATTTGGGTATTGACGAGGACATTTAAGTGATTTTAGCCCCCCACACCAGCTGCGCGCTTAAGTCAAAAATTTAAGCACCCCCTGACCAGCTTTTGAGATAAACTGAGAAATAACTTAATTTATATATATATATATATATATATATTACTTTGTCCTTACTTAATTATGCGTCTCCTCCTTAGGGGATTTATGAAACAAAAGAAGGCCTCATTTGGGAACAGGCTATTTTAGTATTTTTTTTAATTTTTTGGCTAAAATATGAGGTAAAAAAAATTAATATGTTTAGAATGACTTTTTGATTTTTTACAAAAAAGATGTGCAAAAATTAGAGAGAGAAAATGGCTTTGACTTTTTGGTATAAGTTATAGGCTTTTGATTTTTTTAATAACTTTTTGACTTTCAAGCTAAAAGTGTTACATGCCAAACGAGGCCTATATTGGGTTGTCATTTTCATCAAATAGGGGTCCAATGAAGGAGTTTTGGCTAAATTTTTCATTTTTTTATCTGTTGAAATAGATCCAATCTGTAGTATATTCAACAGATTGGATCTATAGACATCTCTCTCTCTCTCTCTCTCTCTCACACACACACACACACACACACACACACACACACACACACACACACACCAGTGAGAACGAATTCATCATCCAAATTTGTTCAAATTCAACAACAAGAACAAACAAAAACAATTTAACAACAAAACTTGCTATCAGATACTTGTGTCTTCTACCCGGTGTTTTGCCTGTGAAGCTCAGAAATAATTTCCTTTTTGGTTAAAGATTTTAAAAACTTGTGAGAGAAGGAGATTGAAAAAAGCGATAGCAACTCACTAAAACTAACTAGGGATTAAAGAGGGGTGTAGCCTCAATGACTGTAAATAAATATCAAAATTATCTACCCTCTGGCAACTATATCATACAAAACTTGTTGAGAAGTTTCAAAAAGAGAGGACATCTGCATGCACCTTTCAAAAGGGCCCCACTGGTTAAGAGATTGACTGTTTGTTACAATAATAACAAGGTCACATCACAGGAGCCCTTGTGCTAGATAATGATCTGTGAAACCAAGATTTGAGGTGGAATTTAAGAGATGAGTCCTGAATATACATGAAAGACATTTTCATACTCAACCATGAGCCACAACCCAGCCATTGAGGCTAGTTTGAAGCACAACACTGTTTCAACAATTTGGTATTCTTTATAGATATTATTCATGCAACATTATAGACATTGGATGTGGATGCTGCATAGCAATTTTTATTTTCACAATAATTCTTTTCTATAAAAAAAAACTAGAGATTGCCATTTTTTATTTTCAGGATGTATCAGCTACAGTGAAGAAACAGATTACTTAAATTGACATGAGTTTTGGAAAGCATAGCTAGTCTCTAGATGGGCACAGCTCCATGAAATTAAACATGCTTCCAAGTTGAAGAACTCAAATCTAGAGACAGTTCCACACCTTACATTATAAAGGAAGTACTTTTCATAAAAGGTAACACTTGAAAAAAATTTAGAGTGACCACCATGATCATCTAATCTGTATAAGCAACTAACTTTTCTAATAAGGGGTCAAGAAAACCAGTGAAATGACCTTCAAGGCTTCAATTGTTATTCAAGGCATCAAAACAAACAAACAAAAAAAGAGGGGAAAAAAACACTTGATTATCTTAGAAAATGGTATAACTCTGAGTGCCGGAAATGAAGAGCAATAAGGAAGTTTTCTCCTTATTGTCTTTTCCTTTTGGCACCAACACTATTCTCTTTGCTGTGTTGATGCAGAATCTCTGCCAACCGAATTCCTTTGCTGATATCAGTTATACAGTTCAGTTATTTAGTAGAGATATACAATGTCAGTACATCCTTAGACAAAGCACGGTTGCATATATCTCATCTAGAGTTAATACATTCTTAGACAGCACACACATACACAAACACTTGCATGCATGCATATATGTATAGTACTGACCTCTTCATTTTCAAAAACAGGTGATAGAAGCTCCAATGCATCACATACATCAATTGTTTCCCACCTTCCCATCAATTCTACTGCCTGCTTTGCTTCCTGAAAACAAATGAGCATACCATCCTCAGGGTTGATCAAAATATTGTTTAAATATCAAAAGAAGAAGCCGGATTAGGAATGATAAAGATAAACATCAAAATGGAACTGTGGAATGCACTCATCGCTTCATTCTAACATCTATTAATCATAGAAAGCATGTAAATTTATGAATTAAGTGATAAAAGTTGACTTTTGTTTAAGTCAAGAGTAAAAAATACAATACGCGCTTTGACAAAGCACTAGACTCTGTCTCTAGCATAAAAGGAACAAAAGCACAGTAATGGAAAGCAAAAACGTCAATAGAAGTGGAACCGCCAATGAGAAAAATAAAGGTGTCATTAGGAAACAAAGCAAGAAATAAATCCACAACTCAGAATGAGCACAAGAAGCTCCTACCAAATCCAATTATTTCCTACCAGCTCACCATACTCATTAGCTATAACTCCGACACTAATTATGGAGTGGGTCAGTCTTGATTCAGAGATAAATAAATAAATGACTATATAAATAGAAAATGAAACAAAAACTCAGAATAAATTATGCTTAAGAGGATGAACATTATCAATAGTATTTTCTGTTTCGCAGATTAAAAAAAATATAATCAAAGGTCATTTCTGCTTGTGGATTTAAGACAAAAAGATTAAATTACTCGTTTATGTTTGAAAATTGAGGTCATATCAATTTACTTTTTCACGATGGTATTGGAAGAGACAATGGACAATTGCCAATTCACCTTTAAATTCTTTCTTTCTTTTTTTTTTTAAAAAACAACTTTTGCATTGTTAAATTGTGAATCAGTATGCCACCATGATGTTATGTTGGAGAAGAGCTATTGAACTTTGAAAATTACAGAGTTAGGGTTATGAAAAACTATAAAATATTTATAGTTTATTTCTTAGGTTATATAGCCAGTTCAATAAACAGTCTAGATTTCAAAACATTGATCTATAGACAAGGGAGATACACCAATCTGCTCTGAAATAAGTGCTGAGAATAGATACTGAATTAACTTTCCACATTATCTAATGAACAAATAAACAAAGCGAGGGACAAAAAGCGAGGGATGTTATTGACATGATTTATCACACATCAACATGTTAACCAACCAAGTTTATCAGAAATAAGTACAAAAAACTGTTAACCACCCAATGAAACTAGAGGAATAAACTGAGAGGGAAGGGAACGGATTAAAAAGATAGAAACAAAGTCCTACATCAAAAGGCGGCCGGGAACACAACAGTCACATCACATGAAATTTAATTAGTAACAAGGGATTCCAACTGCACAAGCTGGGGAGAAGAATTGTGCAATGCTCCTATAGTTTGGCCCATGGAAAGGAATAATATAATATGACAATGAAGAAAAAGAAAGAAGAAAAGAAAAATAACATACTAACCTGAACATCACTCCATTCGACACAACAGAGAAACTTTGTGAGAGCCCTCTTCAACGAAATTTCCACAAGAGATGCCTTTCATCAACCACTTAAAAATCCTTGTAGGGGGGTATTTTAATATTCTCTGTATTGACTAGTATCTACACATTAGGTCCATAACACATATACCCTTAAGCCTATTAATTAAATTGAATCACTTAAATTGTAGGCTTCTTATAAATGATAACACCACATTTAATTATGTGGTCCCATTGAGACATTATCTAACATCAAGTGCTTTCACATCAGCCATTCAGTAACTAAAGAAAATAAAACATTTAGTTTCACACTTTTAATTTTATCCAATAAAGCTAAAGAAAAGATTTGTTTTTTAGTTTCTAATGACTGGATTTTGGGCTTACTTCCTTTGACTGGAGCTTGGTTTAAGATCCCTGTCAATGATGCCACGGGTTAAACTCCTAGCAAGCTTTAGTTGCTTGTGCTCAGAAGGATTTATCTTGCCCACCTCCGGGGACCAGGTCCCACTCAGTAACCAATTCATTGCTTGTAGTTATAGGAGATGGTATAAGGAAATTTGCACTTGACTCCTACATGTCCAACAATAAATAAATAACCAACAAAAACATGAAAAGAAAACAAAAAATAACTCAATCACAGGTAATGTATTTATTACACGATTAACTTTAACTTCCAAATCTAGCCCCAAAAAAAAAAAATTATTTCAAAAGATCCAGGACTGATCAGTACTCAGTAAAATAGAGAAATAAAGTTTAGAACAAGATTTTGTGTCTAAAACATTATGAATACACTTACCAGGCATATTTGAGAAATGTACCATAGTGCACGTTTTGTTGATGACATAGTTTTAATTGATGAATTTAGAATAGGGATTGATTCTAATTAGAACTTCAAGATCATACTTTACAATCTAAAATTTAAGGTTGTGTAGGGCTAGTACATAATACATGGAGTATAATTTTAGCAAAATTACAAATAGGAATGATGTGATAGTGAAACTTGATAACTAGGCTATACCAAGATTAACCATTTCAAATATCTCATATCAATTACACATAAAAAGGAGAGGTTTACGAAGATGCCAGCAATATCCTTACAAGTACAATGGATGAAATAGAAAGGTCTTTTCTGATTCTTGCGTGATCATGAAAATTCCCTCTGATTTGCAGGGGAAGTTTTATAAGATCTAGTCAGCTATGTTCTATGGCTCAAACTATTGGCTAGTTGGAAAACATGTCCAAAAATCAGTGTAACTAACACAAGAATGTGGAGATGGATGAGTCGTATTATGAAAAAAGACCCAAACAAGAAGTGAATATTGTCCTAGGAAGTAAGAAGTGGGAGGTATAGCTAACACGAGAATGTTGAGATGGAAGAGTGGTATTATGAAAAAAGACCCAACAAAAAATGAATATTGTCCTAGGAAGAAAGAAGTGGTGCCAAATTGTTTAAAAGGAGAAAAGTTAATTGACATGGTTTTAACCATGTCCTGCACAAATCAACTAACCCACAAATATGGAAGTGAGTAGGGGCGAAGAAAAAAGAACTTGATTGCTTTGGACTTCAATGGAAGATATTGCATCGCCTGAAGCAATCTAAAGAAGATGGATAAATATAGCCCCCCTAATCAGTGGCGGAGCCAGAATTTATTGTCAGCGGGTTCAATTAGTAGTCAATACATTATGTGAGTATTAACTTGCTAAAAAAAATGCAAAAAGCTAAAAACACCGTATTTTATTTTTTATTTTGAATTAAATTTTCAAAGAATAACATTTAAGCAAACTTTTTCAATATTTTTTTTCTTAAAATTTGGTATTCTCTTCAACTATATAATTTAGTGGGGTCAATTTAATGAAATTTCAAAATATCTTTTAATTTGTGGAGTTGTCCTTTGAGATTACAAAATATTAGTTAAAACAGTGAATCAACTCCAATTATCTCTCAAATTTCAGTGGGTTCAAATGAACCCACATGCTATAATGTAGCTACGTCCCTGCCCGTAATTATTTGGATTTATGCTTCTTGATTTGAGTTGAGTACTCAGAATTTTGAAATCAAGTAGTAGAATAAACAAGCAAAATGCTAACTTGTCATTGACCAGAGGTTACAACATAGATAATGTGTCAGCACAATCAAATTGCAGATTTGACTAATTGGTTTCCATATTAGCAGAGTTCTCATATAGGACAGTAAGCTAAACTGCACAACCAGAATTCATAAAATATGACTGAAAATCCAGGAAAGGAAAAGCACATATAGTGTTGAGACCTACTGTGTCTACTACCATTATAATAAATGTTTTGAGTAAAGTACTACCTCCGCCCCAAATTGTTTGTCCGGCACAAAAAATAAGAATTTAAAAATATTTTTGTGCCAAAATTTTCAATTTTTTTCCACAAACTAAAAGTACTTAATCAGATCTTTTAATTGGTGACATTTTTTTGAAATTTCGGTACAAGAATACATTATTTTCAGTTATTGTATTCTGTGCCAGACAAACAATTTGGGACAGAGGGAGTAGATAGTAGTATATCACCAAAAATACAGGACACCATCGGTACACTGAAGTTTAGTGATTTGTGCCCTAGTGTTGTGCTACATGTCTAGTGAAAGACCCGCTACAATTTCATATCAATAGTGTTGCACAACAACTGATTTCAAGGACTCATCACCTCAATACCGTACACGAATTCGGCAACAATTTTAACATGTCTATTCTAAACGAGTGACAACCCTTTGTTTATAACCCAAGCACGTGCTTAGGGCAAGTACTACATAGTAAGCCACAACTAGCTTAATTTCAATGCATTATAATTAAACCAAGAAGGCAAACAATTTGTCAAGAGAGTTGAGGACAAACAATTAATAACTCTTATGCCCGCAAACTGAGAAAGCTCTACGTGAAAAACAACTTGATGTTCAAAACTGCAGGACTCAACCACGAGGTATAAACAACTTCCATTCTACCACTTTCACGCTCCTTAATTTTGTCCATAGCTTTAAACACAAGGCGGTCCATCCAATCAACTCGTTGAATCTGTCCCGTTTCATACTTATTTACAAGCTTTTCCAAACGCTCCAACTCCCCACATTCTTCCTTAGGAACCTAACAAATTGTGGTGAGCAGATGAACACAAATTGTGGTGAGAAGATGAACAGAATCTAAGCATCAAAACATTTTAAAAAAAAACTAAGCAAAAACCATGAAACATAAAAGTACTAACCCCGGCAAAAAATAATAGTTATAAACCTTTCCAGGAGTAGTTGTCTGTATAGATCCATCTGCCTCCTTACTAGGCCAAAGCCTAAGCTTATGCCTCCCTGTTTTGAGTTGTTTTTTGTGTTAAAAAAGACTAATGGTAGCCCCACCAATCAAACCCACATTTTTCCCGCATGAAACATCCCAAACCTGCAATTCCAGGAATATCACAACAAATTATAGCTTAGCACCAAGTGAATCCAAGCGTAATGTATAACAGTAAATTCTATCTTCAACTGCAGCAAAAGACACACGCCAAACAAGATATGAGATAAAGGAAACTTTCTTAACTCATGCACCAAATTGACTACATTCTCAACGATAAATCAATAACAGAATGAGCAGTGAACAGAACTCAATTTCTACATATGATTAGTAACATTTTAGTTATTACAAAAGCAAAGCATTATTATTAAAAATCAGACCATGCAATACAGATATACCTAGGAACACATTAACAGAGAATGAGAACAAGACTAATAGTATCCAAAGACACAAGGGCGGACCTAGGGCTGGGCATGGGTGGCTGCAGCCCAACTCAAAATTTAAAAATTCTGTAGAATTTTTTTTTTCAGCCCAGCCCAACCCCAAATAAGGGTCAATAGTTTTTTTGTTTGTTATTTAGATAGGCAGCCCAACATAACCCAATACTTACCCAAAAAAATAAATAAGCAGCCCAGCCAAAATAGGTTTATATTTGTTTAAAGAACAAATCTTCCCTTGGGCAGCAGCAGCTTCTCTGACTCTTCTTCACTTCATCTTCTTCTTGTTCCCATCAGTGGTATAGCTAAGATTTATTTGACAGACAATTCATAACTTTGACCTTTTGTTTTCTTTTTTCTTCTTCTTCTTAATCTTAATTTCGTTGAGAATGGATTGCTCTTAGTTTTTTTATGCAACAAATATTATATTGCTCTTAGTTTTTTGATGATGATGCCTTGTTCAATGTTCTATATTGCTCTTAGTTTTTGAACTTTGAAAGAGTATTTTTGGACATACATAAAAATAATGAAAGCCTAAATAAAAATTATTGAGGATATATATAAAAATCCTAATATTTAAAGTTATTGTGAATAACTCTGGTTTAATATTAAATAGGGCTAATTTTTTTTAGGTTATAAATAATGTAACCTCTACCACTCAAAAAAAGGCAAAACCCTTTTCTCATTCTATCAATCAAAACAGAAGTATAGTAGTACAACATCCAATGTTGTTGAAACCTTATTTTCTGATGTGCAACCGCCTTCCATGCCTCAAGCTAATAAACCAAACGAATTTGATTCGACTGTTATTGAACGGGATCCTAGTTTATGCTTGCAATTTTGTGAATTTCCAGTTAATCAACGGGATGAGGTTAGACGAGCTTATGTGAACTTGGGGCCTTATCAACCTAAACTTGAGTATCCTAAGTCCTCATTTGGAAAGCAAAATCGTCAATTCCAACATATTTGGTTTAAACAATTTTCTTGGCTAGAGTATTCTCCTTCAAAGGATAAAGCATATTGTTTTTCATGCTTTTTGTTTGATCAGTCAAATAAGTTAATCAGTCATTCTGCACTTCTTGATGAGGGGTTTAACAATTAGAAGAGAGTAAATGATAGATCCAAGTGTGTTTTTTTCGCTTCATGTTGGACTTGCATCTTCATTGCATAGTCATTGTGTTATTAGTCATGACAATTTAAAGAAATCTTCCCAACACATTGAAAAAGTGTTGAATGTGCAATCAAAAGAAGAAATTTTGAAGAATCGAATGAAGGTAAAGGCAACAATTGAAACTGTTCAAGTACTTGCTCTTCAAGGACTTGGTTTTAGAGGTCATGATGAAAGCTCGACTTCATTGAATCAAGGCAATCTAATT